CCCCCAATCTTAGTGCTGAAGTTGCTGTCTAATGTCTCCCAGTGCAAAAAGGCTATTTTGTGCCTTTCCGGGAAAATCATGTGATATATAAGCTTCGTTCAGCCATGAGTTACAGTGCTGTTGGTCAACGTTAATGAATCAACAATAAATATTAAATTGGGTATCTTTAAACAGAAACACACACAAAACAAGATTATTTATTGATCAGTTGATGACACTGTGACCCTCAGAGGCTCGCAGGAACCTAACCCTGTATTTCCCTAGGGGCAATGGTTCAGTATTTGCTAATTTAGTGTTCCTGGTGACTCTAGAACTTAACTGCCATGATTAACGAGTACTTCATCCTGCCTCATAACCAGTGTTACCTAAGTTTTTAAATTAAAGTGGCAATGGCACCTTGGGAGGGCCACAGGATGAAGCCCGTTTATCTCCAAGTATTTCGTGGCTTTAGCTCCTAGAGGCCCTGACTGGCCAACCTGCCGGGCCTTCCAAGAGTGCCCTCTGCACTTGCTTTACCCTCTACAGAAGGAAACCTGGCTAATCAGGAAAGAAACTCCCTCAAAAGGTAAACAGTGAGGAGAGTGTACATATGGTGGAAAACAAATGGGTCTTGGTACCATGTTGTGGAAATTATCTCACCTAGGTAGATAAAGGAGCAGGCTGAGCCCAGGTGGCACTGTTGAGTCCCCTCCTCCATTTCACGGCCCATTTGTGACGTATGCACCAGTCTGTCCCAGAAAACTCTCTCCCTACACTCAACACTCTCAGAACTGTGTGGTGCCCTGTGTCTACGCTGCACCCCACCATGGCCGTGACCGCCTGCCAGGGCTTGGGGTTTGTGGTTTCACTTCTTGGGGTTGGGGGCATCATTGCTGCCACCTGCATGGACCAGTGGAGCACCCAGGATTTGTACAACAACCCGGTGACAGCTGTATTCAACTACCAAGGGCTGTGGCGTTCCTGTGTCCGAGAGAGCTCTGGCTTCACTGAGTGCCGGGCCTACTTCACCATGCTGGGGCTGCCAGGTAAGGGCTGGTGGCTGGGAGGCTGGGAGGGGCCACTGGGCCTCTGCCTGAGGCACCATGGAGGGACTGCTGGGAAGGGAGAAGCAACAGCCCCCACCACCAGGGTAAGAACAAGACCACAGAAACCTTAGGGAGAGGAGCTTTCTGGCACTGTCAGGGCTCCTGTTCCCCTCACTGGATGGTGCCCAATTCTCCCCAAGGGGCACATTTTAAAAATAAGCTCTATGTGAGCAATGGCACTGATTCTCAATCACCCACAGTAACAGGACTCAGGGGGCCCAGACTTTAGCCCCAAGATTCTCCTTCCTGAATTGGGGACTGTGAATCTCTCTCCAGGCCCCCTTGTGCCTGGTCCCAGCTGCTAGGGAGATCACTTTGTAAGTCATGTAAATGTCTAACCACTATGCTGTATTCCTGGAACTAATATAATGTTGAAGGTCAACTATAATTGAAAAAAAAAATTAAAAACAAAATAAGTTTTAAAAGAAATAGATGATGTTTAGATAAATAATAGCACTTCTGGGTAATGGACTACTAATAAGCTCCTATTAAAATACTATTTTACTCATATCAAACTAAACATTTAACATTAAATATATTAAATGGTGTTTACAAAGCTTTGGTTGTACATGTATGCAATTAAGTGAAAAGAGAAAAACATCAAATGGTATGATTTTTTAATCAGGTAAAAATTATATACAGAGAATGGATAAAAAGGAAGTATTACAAATTTTGTCTAGGATTTAAAATTATGAGTGATTTGTTAAAATTATCACTACTTACAAATTTTCTATTATGAGCACCAAAAGGTGGAATCAGAAATTAGAGATATTCAGGGTGGTACAAAAGTAGGTATACCGTTGTGAGTTTGTGCAACACAGAGTTTATTCAAATAGTATTATTATTTATTAATTAATTATTACATTATTTAATGAAGAACTATAAACCTAACTTTGCCCCACCCTGTACAATGTGATAATATATTTTTAAATTAATAGATGTATTGATTATTTTTATTACTAGCTTACTAATTTTACTCCTCCCATATTTTATTTTATATTGCCATTAGACCACCATTTTTGCTTAACTACCATGCATGATTTATATTTATATTCCTAAAAATTGGTAAAGCAAAGGTGAGGGAAGTTTATTCTCCAATATCGGTAAAATAATATAAGCTCCTGGAAATTTATAACTTGAAATGGCTCTGCCAGAACCATATTTAACCCTGAATATAGGGATGATTTTCCCTAAGAAGTCAGCAAAACATGTGCTCCATTTTTAAAATGATTAAACGAAGTAGTACCAACATTATTACATTATTGTTAAACAGAATCAGACCACGAATTATCATTACATATTATTATAATCAAACCATGAATTATCAGTATTGTTAGATCTACATTTAATTTTTTTTTAAAAAAAACACCTATTGCCATGAATGGGGAAGCCAGCTTTTCCCCTGCGGACCTTATTCACTCTTTGGAAATGGCAACTAGGACAGTGGTCATCTCACTTCAAAGCACAGAAACTCCAGAAAATGAAAAATCCCATCTTCCAGATGTTGTAAAACATAGTCAATGTTTATTTCACATAAAAAAGCATGTAGACTTACAATTTCTCTCTACTCATTCAGTGTTCTGCCTACATAGGGGTGGCTTTAGTTTATTCTTTAAAATTAACCTTTCCTTCATCCAAAAAATAAAGTTACAGTCACCATCTCAAACAAGAAAGAAAGCTCGATTCATTAGACCTAAATAATATTTCCCTGTCTTGAAATTTTGCATAAAAACATTTGCATAGGGAAATGGGAGTGAGAATAGATAACTTGTAATAACCTATTTTTTAATTTTTTCATTATCAGCTTATTATTTTAGTGATATTATAGTCAATGTGCTGGGGGTTGTTAGACAAAAGTCATAAAATGAACAACTTAAAACCAAACTCTTATAGTTCTCTTTATGAGTAAAAACCCTGTGTCTTGGTTGAAATAAGTAAAATGGACTTTGCCCACAGAAACAGTGACAGAATCATAACTGAATTACTCCAACATTTTCCAAACGAATTGGTCAATCCCTGCCCACCAGCAGAGACCATAGTCACTTTTGCTAGTTGTCCCCTCCCTACCTTTTAGACTTGGTCTTGTAGCTCAGTTCAAGAGGTACAGAGACAACAACACTATTTATCACCTTAAGTCAGTGGTTCTCAACCTTCCTAATGCCGTGACCCTTTAATACAGTTCCTCATGTTGTAGTGACCCCCAACCATAAAATTATTTTCATTGCTACTTCACAACTGTAATTTTGCTACGGTTATGAATCGTAATGTAAATATCTGATATGCAGGATGTATTTTCATTGTTCGCGACCCACAGGTGGGTCATATATGACTCTTGCTTACTCTCTTTTTGGGGGATTTCTGGCTCATACTTCATTATCTACTAACCCTGATCACAGAACCTAAAGCAAGGCGTGTGGTTGAGGGAAGTGTTGCCTCCATTCAAATTAGGAAGGAGACCTTTCATATTTGCTTTCTGTGTTTGCTGGGAATAAAGTCCTGAGAGCGGTGGTTGGGTGCACCCAAGATAACATTGAAATGTCCAGTTGCTCAGCCTTGTTTCCTGGAGAACCTGTCCAGGTTAGAGGTGTGTGTGTGTGTGTGTGTGTGTGTGTGTGTGTGTGTGTTTCGGGGCCTTGAAATATAGATTTAGAGAAATTCTAATAAAAATGTATCTAAATTCAGAGGCAAAATGCACAGCTCAATTAATTCTAAAAAAAATAAATGTGTAGACAAAATGCAATGGCTGATCTCTGGCCAAGTCTCTCTTTTGCGAGATTATATAATTCCTGATACTTTCATCAATTGCAGTGAAAATGTTTCTGCAAAATGTAGAAGATTGTATGTAAAATGTGAAAGGAGTGTCCTAGTTTAGTCTCCATGTTACAGATGAAGACACTGTGACTTGCAGAAGCTCAGCAGTTTGCCTCAAATCACCCAGCACAGCATGCGTTAGTGATAGTGTCAGGAGCAGATCCTAGGCCTCTCAGTAACCCATCAGGGTCCAGCCAGCCGGAGTCCCTTCTCTGGCCTTTGTGGAAGCTTCTGTGACTGCCACGTGGTCTTCATGTGCTTCTTGTGGCATGAGTGAAAGGGTGAGGTGGGGGTCAATAGGATGCCTCATGTCCTTTCATCCCAATTCCTCTAGGATTTGGCTTCCTGTTCTCAAAAGTGGGGACAACTTAGTCTGACCCTAGTTCTCTATATGGAAATAGAGAAAGAGCACCAGAGAGGACGTTGAGCAGGGAGCTCCACCTTTGCTGCCTTAAAGCATCTGTGGTTCACTAGGACAAGTTCCTGGAACTATTTGTACCTCACTTGACTCACCCCCCCAAAAAAATATATGTGGGAAATAGTAACACTGCCCTGCCCATTGCTGTCAAATTAAAATGAAAAGATATAAAGGAAAAGTGGTTTAGGAGTTGTGAGGAGAAAATCTGAAAGTCTGGTTTAAGATGGAGATTCCTGGGCCATTTTTCAAAAGTGAGGTCAGCCAGGTGGTTTCCTGAGATGAGCAAGGCCTAAAGGAAGGGCTTGTGGGGGTTCTCAGCGGTGGACACATCAGCTTTTTCCCCAGAGGGTGGCGTGCTGGGGGCAGAGCCAGAACCAGGAATGGGGCACGGCCTCGGGGGAGGGTGTCCACTCAGCCCGCCCTGCTCTCAAACCAGCTGTGCCAGCGCAGATCAGCAGGACAAGTGCCTCTTGGGGCCGCTTCCCTAACAAATGAGAAAATAATGCCCTTGAACCAAGAGTGAAACTGAACTATCTAAGGAAAACACTGTGAGCAAACACCAAGAGCCGAGGGAAACCATCTGATTAGAGCGGCTCCCCTCCGGAGCACGGTAGGCGCACACCTTCCACCGGAGGAAGGCGGCGGCTGGTCCCAAGGCGAAGGCCAGAGTGCCAGAGGCCCAAAGCCATGTCCACCACCACATGCCAAGTGGTGGGCTTCCTCCTGTCCATCCTGGGCCTGGCGGGCTGCATCACCGCCACGGGGATGGACATGTGGAGCACCCAGGACCTGTACGACAGCCCGGTCACCTCCGTGTTCCAGTACGAAGGGCTCTGGCGGAGCTGTGTGAGGCAGAGCTCAGGGTTCACCGAATGCCGGCCCTTCTTCACCATCTTGGGCCTTCCAGGTAGGCGCTGGGCAGGACCCCCGGGGGCCCCACCAGGTGAGGGCAGGAAGGGGCTGCGAGCTCCCACTGCAGCCAGGAGAAACCTGGGAACAGGTTTGGCTAAGAACAGAATGTGTGACCAGCAGGAGTTGGCCCCAAGTCAAAGAGGGCGATATCATAGGGGAGAAAAATCAGAGAATTCATACTCGTCAAAGGAACTGGTAGTGAGGGAGCAGGTCACGAAAAGGATGGGTCTGATGTAAGGGCATGCGCATGACACCAGAACAGACTAGGGTTCCTCAAGGAGGAAATGAACTGTGTGCATGTATGTGCATGTGACTTGCTCCTGCCTGCACATACATAGGAATAAGAAAGTAGGATGGTGACTATTTTCTTACAGCCAAAAAGTTGAGTTAATTTTATTTCATTTTTATTCAATTTTTCTTTGAAAAGTTGGGTCTCTGTAGGTGCTAAATATATAGATAGATAGCCATTAAATTATAGTCTTTTTCTGCATTTATGGTGAGAAGTTCTGATATGCACTCCTAAAAAACAATGTATGACAGAATATAACTATATAACTGTGTACTGCAGCTTTGCCAAGTTGACACATTAAGAATAGCTATCACAGGCATCAGGCATGTGTTTTTTATTCAATTTTTCTTTGAAAAGTTGGGTCTCTGTAGGTGCTAAATATATAGATAGATAGCCATTAAATTATAGTCTTTTTCTGCATTTATGGTGAGAAGTTCTGGTATGCACTCCTAAAAAACAATGTATGTCAGAATATAACTATATAACTGTGTACTATAGCTTTGCCAAGTTGATACATTAACTATCACAGGCATCAGGCATGTGTTAGGACAGTGAACAGTGGATGAACGCATACTTCACTGAATGAAACCCAAAGTATAACTATATAACTGTGTACTGCAGCTTTGCCAAGTTGACACATTAAGAATAGCTATCACAGGCATCAGGCATGTGTTAGGACAGTGAACAATGGATGAACGCATACTTCACAAAAGGGCTCAATGTCCTGAGCTTCCCTCCTAACCCCATTCTGATCTCAACTCTCCTCCTGTTTTGATGGCCTGGCGCACTTACTTTAGTTCTTATTTGCTCTACCTTCTCCTTATCCTACTGGATCAGGAGTAAGTGGCAAGTATGTTGAACTGGAGGACAGACTTCACCATTCCTTGAATGCCTGCAGCATTCAAAGTTTATGTCCCGTAATTTTTCACTTGATTCTCATTTTTATGGCTTGGTTTCTATGGTTTAACTTGCCTCCCCATTTGGAGTATAGATTTCTTGTAGAGTAGATAATACTTCAAATTTTCTCCATCAGGGTTCAGGTTTAAATTCAGAAAATACATTCCGAAATTTAGAGGTATACAGGATGAAGAAACTGGCAAAAATTATTCACTCACTCTTCAATGATTTGAAATGAATCATTTATTCTAAATGATTAACTCATTCATTCATCTATTTTAGTCCACCCATCCATCCATCCATAAAAAATATATAATTATAGAACTATAATTATATTATAATAATGTCAGAATTTAAATATAATTATAAAAGTGACATCCTTTCACCCCTGAAGATGAACTAAATACACATGATAGGATATTATGGGAGCTCTACTTGTGTTTAAAAAAAAAGGAGAAGAAGAAGAAGAAAGAAAAGAGAAAATAAAAGGTCAGGCTAAATGGCTCTGAGGAGTGTCCAGAATATGAGTTTGGTGAGGAAAGGAAAATGGTGTTGGGTTCTGCCTCTGAAACAAACACCTTGTGAATAGATAGATGGAAATAAATGTGCATGAAACTGTTAAGAACCTGCAAAGCCCTTGAAATTGAATTGAGAAAAGCAATTTAACTAATTCATCTTTATTTTTGGAAAGAAATAGAAGATGGGTGGCAGAGGAAAAGCAATTTAACTAATTCATCTTTATTTTTGGAAATAGAAGATGGGTGGCAGAATAGAAGAATTGGGTTATTTATTCCATTTTTGGAAGCTACTTGTATTGCAGGATCAACAGGACCACAGACTACATGGAAGACCTGCTTAGGGAAGCAGGGGAGGGCGAACCTGGCCAGAGGGAAGAGAGGAACCCTATGAAGGAGAGACATGCTGTAGTGTGAGGGGAGAGGTCAGAAGGGACTTGCAAGACCATGGATTGTTGAACTGTTAAATGAATAAAAATGACTGACCTCATATTCAAAATTAAGGCATGACATCCCATGACTTTATGCTTCATAACCTCTTCACGGAACCTCACCACATTATCAACCTCTTGCTCTTTCTTTATCTTTCCATATGTGGAGCTCCCAAATATTTCCACTCTTCTAATTGGCCAAACCTGTGGTCGGCAAACTGCGGCTCGAGAGCCACATGCGGCTCTTTGGCCCCTTGAGTGTGGCTCTTCCTAAGCCTTAGGAGTACCCTAATTAAGTTAATAACAATGTACCTACCTATATAGTTTAAGTTTAAAAAATTTGGCTCTCAAAAGAAATTTCAATCCTTGTACTGTTGATATTTGGCTCTGGTGACTAATGAGTTTGCCAACCACTGGCCAAACCCATTTGTCTTTCCGGTTTTACTGAGAGAAACTCTGCTCCTCTCCCCCTTGACATTTCTACCCTCTGTGGAACAAGATCCCCTCTCTCTCTCCTGTTCAAGGCCGGCCTCTCCACCAGAGCTCTGTAGGCCCCACACCATCCTGTCTGGTCATCCAGCTGATCAGGTCCTCTCCTTCTTGCCTCTTTCATCTCTCCTCCTGACTTATGCTTATATCCTCCTTTCCTGGAAATCTTCTCTCGATTCTGGTCATTGTCAAGTTCTGTCTCTCCTTGTCCATTAACGATACTTTGGGTTTGGTCCTGGATACCCATTGTTCCCACTGCCCAAATGCCCCACCACCACCACCACCCCAAATGTTCCCATATGCGAGGTCCAGCTCAAGTACCACCTCTTCCCTGAAGCTTCTTCACATCCTCATATTGACTAGGATCCCACAAACCTTTGTACCAAACCCAGAGCACTCTGATAGCAATGAGCATATTCTGCCCTCATGACTCTGCTCACAAATCCAAAAGCTGAGAAACTGAGGCAGCCATTGAAAAGGTGTACCCGAGCCCTGCCCATCTGGGTCAGGGGAACAGGATTCCACCAAAAGCCAGGAAAGACATTTCGTGGGACTGAATTGGCAGAAAAGGAGATGGTTTAAATCTTTGATAAAATCTAAAGCAAAAATCCTTAAGGTAAAAAACTATGAAACTGCTCTTAGGATCCTTTCTAAAGGAGCTGCCCTGTTTGCTTCTTCTTAAAATTGGCTGTTTCACATAAAGTCTAATGCTCATCATCATGTAAAACCAGCTTGTCTTTCCCCATGTATGGCAGAAGAAACTGGTGCTAGGAGGTGAACTGATTATAAGTTGGTTGTAAAGCTGAAATGAGATCTACAGGAGCCTTCTAGTTTTTGGTCAAGCTGCAATTCCTTTCTTAAAAAAAAAAAAAAAGATGTGTTAGCCTTTTTAAATATGTGGGCAAACATCTAAATGTGTAGACACTATTGTACATGGAAGGAAATCCCACAGAGAACTGAGGACACATCTACAAAGTCCAAGAGAACCTGTATCTTGGATATAAAAATGCTTGCCCTGATTTCTCATGATCAAAGTTATGTAGGAATCTGAATGCCTCCTCAGCTCGTGGTTGTGGAAGTTGCTGCTTGGATAGCAGGGCAGTCACCCACAAAGCTTCAAGCCCGAGCATGGGCTAGTCACTGGAGGGGCATCACTTTGTGGTGGGGCCTCCCATTATGAAAGTTATATAGTTGGACCCCACCTTAGAGGTGAAAAGAAAGGTCAATGAAGATGTTAGCCACCTACACTGACTCATCCATCAGCCACCTCCCCTGTTCATTGCCAGCTGATCCTGAGCCCATTTTCCCTGATCTTCCCTCATTCCTGGGTCTAGAACTTTCTCTTCCTTTTTTTTCTCTCTCTCAAATCTTCTTCCCCTATTGCCCTTTATACTCCCTCGCCCATGGCTTTTTCAAATCCTCAACCATGTTTTGTCACCAGGAGAGAGGATTCAGGTTTGTACATAGTTAGTCCAAGCCAAAGCCATGAGGAGTTGGAGAGAGGTAACTTCTTTTTAAAGACGGGAAGGGAACTGATATTTACTGAACCTGGCTTAGTTCTATGCTGGTGCCAACTCGCATCTGATCCTCACAATACCTCTATGCAAAAGATATCTCTATCCCATTCCAGAGTGTAGGAAATTAGGTTTTAGTAAAGTTACATTACTTGCCTAACAACTTACCTGGCAGCACCCATTCTGTAGGATTTCTCGAGATACAAAAGACCTCCCTATTGGTTCCCTGGGATCTATGGAAAATCTAGGCCTTTCACCTTGTTCTGAGGGGCCTTGCCTCTGAGGTCTCACCTCAGACTTCCCTCCTCCAGGCTCCCCTCCTCTACCAGCCCTATCAAAGGCCCCAGGTCGGGGCCTTTGGCTCCTGGGGACTTGCTGTGTCATCAGCCCCACCCTCACCCTTAGCCAGCTCAGTGATGTCAGCCACTCAGTTCCTCTCAACTCCCCACTCTGAGCACCTCCTCCTGAACTCCCTTGAGGTCAATTTTCCCAAGTTAAACAATTGAAATTTTGTTAATAAACAACTAAATGAAAATCTCTAGGGGTAGGGCCAAAACATTAATACTTCTTTAAAAGTTTCCCCAGGAGATGCTAAGGTGCAGCCCAGGTTGGGAACCACACCTGAAGGCACCTGGCTTATCAGTTCATTTTAGGGGAATAAGAAATTTTGCAACAGGGAGATAGCAGGGCAGTCACCCATAAAGTTCCCATTTTTCTGTTTGCTTCTATCCGCCCTGAATTCTACCCACCCTTCTGATAATGCCTCATTGTTCATTGAAAAGAATTCTATAGTCACACCTTTGGTGTGAGGAATCAATCTATAGAACCCGTTGACTCATCTGTTATCGGCTGATAAGCCTATGCCTCTTGCTCAGAATCAATAATAATAAAAGCATAATATCCTAATTAGACCAGACAGCCAAATGACCTTCCTGACAACCTTCCAGACGAAGCCGGGGCTGCGAGGGTCGAGGCAAGCCGCCGCTACTGCAAGGGCCAAACCCCTTGCACGAATTTCATGCATTGGGCCTCTAGTATCAAATAAGAGACAGAGTGGCTAAAAGAGAAACCTACCTCCTTTAGGAGCAGTTTCTCTTGTTATCTGTCTATGGAAAAGGATTAGAATCCCAGTTGGTAAAATCTTCTAACTAGAAAGGAAGTTCGGGTCACAACCATGTATCACCGTGGTTATTACTAGACATAGGGGAATTCTAGCAGTGAGCAATGGAGAACATTTCCTCCTACTTCCTGGCATCTGCCTCCATCACAGTGTCCACTCTCAGAAGAACCTCCCAAGGGGTCTCCAAAGCATGGAAGACTTTGGTCCATCCATCCAGACTGAATTGTGGTTCTGACAATGGCCCCACAAGATATAACACAAAGTCGTGTCTTTTCCAACTGCAGGCTAAAAGAAAGGGGTAGGAGTAAGCTAAAAGGAGATTCCAGATATAAAAAGGAGCTCAAGATCTGGGTGGACCCCTGGTTCAAAGCAGGTTCTAGTGTTCATCAGAAATCCAAAGGTCAAGAAAGAGCTGGAAAGAAATGAGGACTTGTCGTGCAAACCTGACCCCAGCAGAGGCAAGAGGGCATCTGAAAGCCTAAGTTAAGGCAAAGGCTGACTGGGACAATCTGGCCACAGCTCCAGTACCTAGGGGCTCCTATGGCACACCAGCAGCAACTCTTCACATCAGCAAGCCCACAGTGATTCCACCTCCCACCTGCCAGCATTGCCCTCCCTTCTCATCCAACAGTGTCAGGGAAGGTCACGTACCTCAGCCATAGCCACAGCACACATGTGATATGTTTTCAGGATCAAATATTAGAATCACTCAATCAAAAGAGATTCGATGACCCTATCCTTTCCAAGAGTGTGGGATAAGAGTAAGTTTTAATAGAATGAGAAAAAGACATCTTTTATACTACTTGGTTAATTATTGTTTGGTGGGTTAGCTAGTTGGATGCTTGATTGGTTGAGCATATGAATGTGTTGTTTGACTATGGGAGTACACCAACATGTGCTAGAAAGATGGAAATGAATACACTAGTAGGTGACACATGCTTGCATTTGCCAATAAGGAAATGAACAGGATGTTTGTTACCAAAATCCTATGGGGCCAGCAAAGCCATCAGGCAAGTCTTGGGAGGTCACAGGTGACACACTAGAGCCCTCCTGTCTTAGGAATGGATTCAAGGGCCACTCCAAGGCTCTCATGAGTTCTCTTTACCTTAGTGGGGTTACCATGGCTCTAGCATCAGAATTCAGCTGCAGGTCCAAGATGACACTGTGATCAATTCTCCCAGGAATGGTCAGATCACAGATGATTGATCCATACCATAAACCAAAACATCTACTTTGAAACTATAGTTGCTAATAGGACCAAGACTGATCATGGCTGCTTGTAGAATCCTCTTCCCAGGAGAGAAGCAAAGTTAAAACCAGAAGTTTTTTTATAGAGAAGAGAGTCAGAAGCTAATAAATGGAGGTCAGCCCAGCCGGGTATGGCTCAGGGTTGAGCATCCACCCAGGAACCAAGAGGTCACCAGGTTGATTTCCAGTCAGGTCATATGCCCAGGTTGCAGGCTTGATCCCCAGTAGGGGGCATGCAGGAGGCAACCAATCAGTGATTCTCTCTCATCATTGATGTTTTTATCTCTCCTCCCTTCCTCTCTGAAATAAATAAAAATACATTTTTAAAAATAAAATAATAATAATAATAATAAATGGAGGTCAGTGGCACAGAACTAGAGTAGCTGGATACCATTGTCTCTCCACAGGGAAATACCTGGTGGAAAAGGGCCTCCATTCCTCAGATACTGCATAAGGCTCTTTAATGAATTCCCCATGATCTCCCTATCCTTTTTCAATATATTTCATTCATTGCCATGACTAGAGTAGGATGGAGCTTTCTGCTTTGCTCCACACAGTTCTTTAGTCCTGCTCTACTAGAACTCTCTAAGCTAGGAGCCTTTCTCTCTGGAAGACATTAAGCCTTCCTTTTGTAAGATTCATTATGCTTGCAATGGACATGTTTACTGACTGTCTTTCCCCACTTTGGTAGAACCTCCATGAGAGCAAAGACCATGTCTGTCCTGTTAATTGCTGCCATCTTGTGCCTAGTCATGGGGCTAAGTAGAAAACTGTTGACATTAATCACTGCACTTTAAGGACACCCTAGAAATCATTGAAGGTTTCTAGGGTGTCCTTAAAAGAAAGGTCACTGCAGGAGAGCCCCAGCAGGACTTACAACTTCCACTGATCCTGAAAAGGAAACTGCTGGTAAAGTGTGGTCATGTTGAAAGGCCTGAGATTGATATAGTACCTTTTTATAAGTACCTAAAACTTACAGTTCACCATGGCCTTAGTCACCCCCTTGGAAGGAGGCAAAAATACAGTGCCCTTGTTATATCACTTAGTGACCTTACTTCATTATATGCTATAAATGAATACTGGGTTTTCGTAAGGGGACACAACTATATGAAACATTGAGCCCTCATGGAAAGACTAGAGACGACAGATGTTTGGGTTAGAAGTCAAAGCAACCCAGTTTTACTATAAGCTCTATCAATAATTTTTAATGCCACCTTAGTCACACCATTTCACTTTCCTGGTCCCCAGAATATCAAGCTTTAAAATAAGGACATGAAATAGATAAATTCCATGGGCCCTCCCAGCTCCAACTGTCCATAATTTTCTCATTCTACACGCATTTGCATGCATGTCCTTCATCAATCAGAGGATTGTAAGTGATGGTTTTGCATTTCCCACACTTCCACATCCCTTGACAATAACAAGGTTCACGTCATGGTTTATGGACTTGCTGTTCCTCAGAAACTCAGTACTGGTTGGTTGTGGTTGCTGGGTTTTATTAAACCAGAGCCTGATCAATCATGTTGTGATGATCTTGTCTGTCTGCTTGTGTCTTGCCCCTTGACCCACAGCCATGCTGCAGGCGGTGCGAGCCCTGATGATCGTGGGCATCGTCCTGGGTGCCATCGGCCTCCTGGTGTCCATCTTTGCCCTGAAGTGCATCCGCATTGGCAGCATGGAGGACTCTGCCAAAGCCAACATGACACTGACCTCTGGAATCATGTTCATTATCTCAGGTAAAATAGGAGCCTGGGGTTCCTGCTGTCAGACGTGCTTCTGGGAATGTCAAAATCATTCTGGCAGAGGAAACACTGCTTCTTCCTATTGAGCATAGCTTGAGCACAATTCAGAGCTTTGCACACTAGGATTACAGCAGGGATGAGGAACCTTTTCTCTGCCAAGGGCCATTTGGATATTTATAATATCATTCACGGGCCATACAAAATTATCAACTTAAAAATTATGTTATTATGAAAAAAGCTCCTGGATTTATTGAATTTCGAGTCCCATCTGCTGTTGCGTTGGCAGAGCCAGACCAAATTACATAGCTCTTGGGCCAGAGGTTCCCCACCTCTGTTTGGCAAAATTATAATGAATGCTAATGTCCCTCTTAGCTGCCACCCCAGTCCCATTATAAGAGACTAGAGGCCCAGTGCACGAAAATCGTGCAGGGATGGAGGATCCCTCAGCCCAGCCTGCACCCTCCCGCAGTCCAGGAGTCCTCGGGGGATGTCCAGGAGCCGTAGGACATCCTTAGTGCTGCCGTGGAGGCGGGAGAGGATCCCACCACCGCCACTGCATTTGCCAGCTGTGAGCCCAGCTTCTGGCTGAGCAGCACTCCCCCTGTGAGAGTACACTGACCACCAGGGGGCAGCTCCTGCATTGAGTGTCTGCCCCCTGGTGGTCAGTGCGCATCATAGTGACTGTTCAGTTGATTTGCATATTAGCCTTTTATTATAGGATTCACAACCCTAAGATAGTCATGTGACTCAACCCCAAAAGGCATTATTTTGGTAAGATTCTAGAGAATGATTTTAAGAGAAGAGTTCTTAACATTGTCAAAGAACCAGGCCCCAAATGTTTGTACTATTAACCATTGGTTCTAAAATACATGCAAAATCTCTTTCTGCACATATTCAAATCCTTCCATAATTAGAGAGATAAGAGAGTCCAAGCACCTAGCACAATGTCTAGGACATAGTGGGACTTCAATAGTCAATGCTTGGAATAACTGTCTGTTATAGGAATGGAATGTTCTAAAGCCTATTCCTCTACACTCATTTAAGTATACATTGCCTCAGAAACATTGTGGTCACTTTAAAGCTGACTCCAGAGCTTTCTTGTTCTTTATCTACAGGTCTTTGTGCAATCGCTGGAGTGTCCGTGTTTGCCAACATGCTGGTTACTAACTTCTGGATGTCTACAGCTAACATGTACTCTGGCATGGGTGGAATGGTGCAGACTGTTCAAACCAGGTAACCTCCTAACCTCAGGATTCCATGGTGAATATTGTTGTAAAAATCCAATTAAACACATATGCCTAATGTGACTGTCAGTGCCTGAAATAGCAAAAATTTATCAGAGGCAACCATGCCATATCATAAATCAACAATGATCTGTAAATTCATAACCTTCATTTCAGTGAAATATCTTTGGTGATATGACTTGAGGCTGATCTGACATTTGCATTGAAATACAGTGACAGTTCACGATATTTATCTAACACTCTTACACAGACCCCATTGTGGTGGCCATGAAAGTGGCACTAATAACCAAGGCATGTAAATGAGCATCAACCCATATCTCTAGTCCATGAAGGGAACCCGGCTAGGGACAGGTAAAAGATTGAATAGAACCGAGCAAGATTAGGTGAGAAAAGTAATGTTTCATCCTCTTTTGGCTTGACTCTTTCTCTTGTTCATGAATTCATTGATTTTACAAATGTATTGAGCACCTACTGTGGGCCAGGAACTGTTCTGAGTGCTGGGGTAAAGACAAGTTCACAATTCTTATGGAGGTTATGGTGTAGCAAAAGGACATGAAACCCCGCTATAAATTGGTATCTGAAGGAGGGCAGAACTTTTAAAAGATGAAAAAGCAATTCTAACATGTGTATTCATTTAGCAACTTCAAAGGGACATTACTCATAGTAAGAAGCAGCAGCAAATCCCTGAAGGAGAAAGACCTTGTTCTGAGAGAGCAATGCAAATATTATAGCTAATAACCGGTCATCTCTGGAGTAAATACACTTGGTACTTCTTCAGCCACACCATTATGGGATACAGACAGGGTATAAGGACATGATAAAACCATTTACTCTCTGGCTTCCCTGGAACTCCTATCCCCATCCATGTCCTTGCTTTGCTTCAAGGAAGTGTAGCTGCCCTTATGTGCCTCCATGGTCCCCCAGGTTCTCTTGGTTACAAGAGCAACTCAGAAGTAAGTTGACCAACTCATTCTGGTTTGCCTGGGGCTTTCCCAGTTTTAGCATAGAAAGTCCCATGTCCTAGAAAGCCCCTCCGTCACAGGCAAATCAGAAGAGCCCACCTTGCCCACAGTTTCTATGTGCCTAGAGTCACGTCCCTGCCCAGGGGGGCCACCTACCACCCACCTGACACCCAGCGCTAATGTGTGCCATCACCCTCTCACACCATCTCCTAGAACCTCACAGGCAACTTCAGTCCTGAAATTGAGATCAGAGGATTCCAGTTGGCCTCCTGAGGTTTTTCCTCCATGGATGGGCAGCATTTTCTCTCTTTCTTTCTTTTCATCTTCTCTATACAGATAGCACAGCTGCCAAGAAAAATCTTGGTAGTCAATCGATGGGGCTTTGGTTCCTGCCCCGCCCAGGCCCCCCCTAACACTTGCAGAACCTAAACTGGACCAGAGCTACATACTGTCTGCCCTTGCCCTGTAGACAGCTTGCAAGGCGTTTTGTATTCGCCTAAACATCTCATTTTATAACCAACTTTTAAAAGTTAGAAGGGTCTCAGGTTGGGTTGCTCAGAAACAGATCCTGAGGATCCGTGTGTGAGTGATGTATTAAGGACAGAGAGACAGATTAGGGCCTGGGACAAGCAGAACAGGGAAGGGTGGTCTCAGCCTGATCCTAGGGACCTGTGGGGTCTTTCATATTTCAGCACCAGCCAGCCTCTGTGCATGTGGGGAAAGTGACTCCAGTGGCTGAACCAAAGCCAGAACTCAAGGGAGAGTCACAGGGACCGGCAGGTAAAGGCAAAATAACACAGGAGCTGGGGGAGAGACACAGAAATGGATAAAGGGACAAAGGGGAACTGGGCAGAGCACCATTGTACCTGCGACACAGAGATTTTCTAATGCAAACACACTTACATCACATACACACAAGGGTCTATTTTTTTCACCTTCTTATAAAAAAATCAGAGCTGGCAGCACTGGGCCCTCATTCTCAGAGGGCAACATCTCTGCAGCTGAGAGGCAGCTGCCCTTTTAACTGGGGCTCACACTCTCCAGGTTGCCACAGCCCCACTACTCTCAAATGCCCCACTCTGAAATCATTTATCATCACGTTTATGGTTTTCCCCTCCATATAACAGAGTTAAAAAAGTGAAGTATTTCCTTACACCTAGCCCACTTTGCTCATTTAAGTTTCTTACCTGTCCCAGATAGGTATATACGGTTGCTAACCTTGATCAAGAGTGTCTAAGGTACCCTAGCGACTAGGGCCTAGCCGGTTTGGCTCAGTGGATAGAGTGTTGCAGGCTCGATCCCCGGCCCCAGGTCAGGGAGAGCGCAAGTGCAGAGGCAACCAATTGATGTGTCTCTCCCACCTGGATGTTTCTCTTTCTCTGTCTTCCCCCATCCCTTCTACTCTCTCTAAAAAAAATCAATGGAAAAATATCCTTGGGTGAGGGTTAACAAAAAATTAATAAATAAAATGGGCAAATAAATAAATAAAAGAGTGTCTAAGTTGAGGAAGGCGACCTCATTCCTCATGCACAGAGGATGGTGTACTTTATGATTAACAGTGACGGCTAGGGAGGCAGAGTGACCCGCATTTGAATCCTGGAAATGCCATGTTCTTCCTGGGTCTTTGGAAAAGTTAATTAGCCTCTCAGAGCCTCAATTTCCTCATCTATAAGATGGTCACATCAATTTAGTTCTTTATGAAGACGGTACTCCTCCCTACACGGATGGTTGCCGGGATTACGTGAGGTAGGTGAGATGAATGCTTCCTGGACCACAATAAGAACTCAAGGGACAAAATTCCTTCAGAAATTGAGACCGATTCTCTCAAACTTCTCTGGTTAAACTGTCCAGCCACTCCCCTTTGGCGACCTCAGTGATCTAAGAGGTCCAAGAATCCTGCAGCTGTATTGCTGGCTAGCTCAGTGTCGATGCTATGCTCCAGGGCACCTGTTCAGTTGGCTGTGACCCAAAGGCATGTGTGTTCAGGGGGCATGGGCAGGGATAGGTGTAGAATCCAAAGGGGAAACAGAGAGGACAGGCATGGCCAGATGCAGTGGGTGGAACCTGGGGAGTTGAGTCAATCACATTCATAGCCATCATCTCCCCACTCAGGTACACCTTTGGTTCAGCTCTGTTCGTGGGCTGGGTCGCTGGAGGCCTCACGCTAATTGGGGGAGTAATGATGTGCATCGCCTGCCGGGGCCTGGCACCCCATGAAACCACGTGAGTTTCCCCATCCCAATGTAATCAGAGGTCTGATTGGGTCCATTTTAACATATAATTCCCAGCCAGAATGGTCAGTCCAGGCATATGGAATAACATTGTTGAGCATGAACCTTCTCTTTTATGGGGGATAGAAAAAACGGGAATAGGAATATTTCTACCTGAGCACATTTAGGTGCGATCCTATTTGAAGGGGGGAAACCATCCAGGAGTTCCCTCTGGCTCCACTATACTATAACTCAATGACTCTCAGCTTGGAGCAATTTTGCCCCCAGGGGATGTTTGGCAACATCTGAAGACACTTTGATTGTTACAACTTTGGTGGGTGGAGGGATAGATGATACTGGCATCTAGTGGGGGGGAGGCCAGGGATGTTGCTAAACATCCCACAATGCACAGGCAAGCCCCCACAGCAAAGAAGCATACAGCCCAAATGCCAATAGTACTGCTGTAGCTCCATAAATGGGCCCGGAGTTGAAGACCTCGATCACAGTCTGGTCCTGCTGTTAACTGGGCCTGCGACTGCCAGCAAATCATTTGCCCTCTCTGGACCTCTGTTACCTCACCCATAAACTGCCCAGGTCTATGGGTTTCCTGGGACACTGGACTTTCGGGGCTAAAACTGTCACGTTCCAGGGTAAATGAGGTGGTTTGTCCTCCTACCAAATACATCTATGATCCTGGAATGTTTCTTTGTCTTTCAGTTACAGAGCCGTGTCTTATCATGCCTCGGGCCCCAATGTCGCCTATAAGACCGGAGGTATCAAGGCCAGCTCTGGCTTTGGGCCCACCACCAAAAACAAGAAGATATACGATGGGGGTGCTCGCACAGAGGACGAGGTACAATCTCATCCTTCCAAGTATGACTACGTGTAGCACTCCAAGACACTTGACATGGGCAGAAGAAAACCCCAATTAGAGCTCACCCAAAAAACAAGGACATTTTACCTTGATTCCTGATGGCTTTTGACTCCCTGCTGGAAGTTAGAAAAGCATTGATTTCACCTATGGGGAGGCCAGATGGTCTTAGCCACATGTCTATATCTCTAAATATTCCATCACAAAACAACAAGGTATCAGATATGAATTAGAGCCTATAGCTCACATTTTCCAATCCTCTATTTCTTTTTTTTTAATATCTTCCTAATCTGATTATAGAATATGGTTTGAATTCCTATCTGACACTTGAATGATTTAGACAGACTCTCCCTCCTCCTTCTAGCCAATAGCCCATTGATGATCTATACCCCCCCCCCCCCCCCCCCAGAACAATTCTGAAAGGAAAAAAAGAGAGTCTGTTAAAAGATATCATTTCCTGCTACTTTTGCCTCTACAAACACTGATTGGAGAAGAGGAGAGAGGGGAAATATATTTGTAATGTCTCTAGCTCATCATCTGAGTTTTCTTATCCTGTGATCTTAAATGGACCAAAGTGATTTCAGTTTGAAGAAAGCAACCAAGCTTTTCCACTTCTTTTGGCATCTGCTCATTCCAGCAAGACTCTCCCAAGGGTTTCTGAGCCCCCCACTGTGAGTCCCCCTTCTGTCACAGGCCAGAAAGCATCCCTAGAAGAACGAGAAGAGGTTGTTGTTGTTTTCTCCTTCTCTAAATATATTTGATATTCTACATATAGTTAGAATAAATAATGTATTAGTAAAATGATACACCATCTCTGTGAATTAGCCTCACTGCAACGCATAGATAAAAAAAAATGAAAAACTAATTACTTTGATGTTGTCTATATTGTACTTTGTGAAAATCACACTTAAGTCCAAATTTCATAAAATGTTCACTGATCCTAATTCTCTTTGAAGTCTCCAGGACTCAGATGAAAATGATAGACTCAGTGTAACCCATATAAAAACCAAATAATGGAACACAACAGGTCTAGGAAGTGAGTTGAACTAGTTTTGTTGTTGTTGTTATTTCAAGTGATGAGCATGAATTTAATGTTATGTTTCCAAGTGCTACATGTCCACATTTGCAGGGCTACAGGCCACTGTTGGCTGACAGTAGACTTACTTGGCACTGTGGTCAGCTTTGTTACCCAAAGAGCAGTTCCCTTCACTAAACTGACCTACAGTGTTTAGACCACTGAATGTTTAAGAGCCGAAAGCTCTTTGCAGCCACACACCTTCCCTGTGTTTACATCAGAGTTGCAGAAAGCCTACATTCTTTCCAGGCCACCAGGATTCCATCCCAGCACCAGAGCTAGAATAGGCCCCCTGGAAAACTGAGGTATGGGTAAGGGTGGAGGGGATCTGACCATTGAGTTATTATTTTGGGGGGTGGAAGAGTGGGGGAGGGAAAAGACATGTCCTAACTCAATAGTGCATATAAAAGTGACCTCCAAGAAGATGGGTGAATATTCAGAGGATCTTTAGGCTGGACAGACTATATCTGGGGAAAGACCAGACCAGGGCCCATTAAACAACAATGAATTGTGTTCACTAAGAGACCCTTCTGACTGAGCTATCAATGGTTTTAGATAAAATCAAATAGAGTACACATGGAATTCGTTGTCTAAGCTGGGGTAAATGATGAACACATAAATTAATTCAAGAATAAAAAGTGGGGGTGGGGGTGGAGGAAGAGGAAGCTGAGCAATCTAGGGCATGGAGATTGTTAGGAGTCCTCAGGATTGGAGTTGAAAGCGTTGGGGCACAATGAGCTCTCTCCCTCCTGCCACCAGAAAGTCCCTGGTGGGGTGTGAGACACTGGGGTGTGGCTCTGTTGGGTTTTAATTAGCATATTCTCTGTGTAACACTTAATTGTTTAAAAGTCTCCAAGTAGTTAGACTGTGTTTTGTAATTTTGTTTTGTTGCTCTCTCATTGTATATGCATTGAATATTGACCTGCATGTTTTGTTACTTAAATATTAAAAACACTTAACTCGCATTTGGACAGCTTCTGTTCTTTTTTTCTAAGCTCTGGGAAGTGGAGGTGGGAGTCTTGGCACCTCAAAACTGAGTGCATCTCCCTGGAGCGTTTCTGCTGGCACTGAAAGTCCTGCATTCCAGGGAACCCCTTGGCCCCCAGCAATAGGAAATCTGGTCACCATATGCCAAGGCTACATAGCGAATAGAAAGACAGTCCAACCAGGGTGGGTCTGGCTCCACATATCACTCTCTTTCCACCTTGTCAGAGTGAATCCCACTAACCAGGCAAAATACACACATACATATGCAGGAAAGAAGAAAAGAAGGAAGGAAGGAAAGAAAGAAGCAAGGAAAGGAGTAAATCTACTTTAAACAAAAAAGATATTTGCTTATTAAGCCAAAAAGCATAATACTTAAAACAACATGGTACTGCCCTAGGCATTTTGGCTCAGTGATTGGAGAGTGAGCCCACGGACTGAAGGGTCGCTGGTTCAATTCTAGTCAAGGGCACGTACCTTGGTTACAGAGTGGATCTCTGGCCCTGGTCCTGGTCTGGTACATGCAGGAGGCCACCAATTGATGTGTCTCTTTCACTTTGACGTTTTTCTCTCTGTCTCTCCCTGCCACTCTCTCTAAAAATCAATAGGGGGAAAATATCTTCCAGGGAGAATTAACAAATAAAAACCTAGTACTATAAAATTCCAATCATTAATTCTCAAGTTTAAAAAAAAAAGTAAAACAAGAGCAAATCTATTGTAAATGGTGGACAGACAGATGGCAGGGATGAGTGAAGACATCAGGCTAGCTGGTCCCTCTGAGCTGACACATTCCGCCTCTGCAAAGCACCGAGTATGCTGTGCAACGTGTGTGCACTTTTAAGGGCTTCTGGACCAAAGAGGACTATGGTGTGATGCCACCTGTTAGGACAGGGAACAGCCCAGGATCCCCAAAGTGTACTGTGTGCAGGCGGGTTTGGGCTGAGGTCATTTCATGTCAGCACTAATCTTAGGTGGGAGCTCCCAACACTGTCCGGGATCTGAGTCAGTTTGCACCGCCATTGAGAGTGTTCCCATTCCTTTCTTGTCTCAAGTGGAGCTGGATCTGACCTGCTCACTCCGGTCTCAGGCTGTTGACCAGTCTAGGCTTTCCCTGTTATCAAAGCTGCCGCCTTGGGCACTTGTTGACAATAAAAAAAAAAAAAACTTATTTATTTTGTTCAACAAACCAACTTGAATTTCCCCAAAGAATTTTTTGAAAAGTAAAACATCAAACATATTAAGCATGTGGGATTCTGCTGCCCATACTTATTGCCCCAAGGAGGACTGTTGCCATGGGAATAGCTCTGTAAGGAGAACGGAGCTGGGCTGAAAGTGAATAAAATACATAACGGAGCACAGGCCACCCAGCCAGCCAGCCCCTTATGCTACTTGGAGTGTTTACCCAAGTCTTAGGAGTTAAATCATAATGAAGAGAGAGTGAGAGAAACAAAAATGTCCCACTGCAACAAACACGTTGAGGGATGGGGGTGGGGGTCAGCATGTGAGTGGAGATGTGTTGAAAGTCAACGGTGAGTATGACTGTATCTTTTCCTGAAGGCTGGCAGAACCCTTAGCTTTTTTTTTGTCCAACCAGTAGCTTTTGTGTGGACAGACCAGTCCCAACCGTCTGCAAAGGGGCACAGCCAATGGAGCAGACAGAACTCAATGAAGGATTCACCAAAGAATTGGTGTCAGGATGACCCTCGTGGTCTCTGGCAACAGACTCTAAGACTCTACATGGTTCATTCTCTGTGACCCAGCAGTCTCATTCCTCAGAATCTGCCCAAAGGAAATCATTCTGACTCTTAAAAAAAAAAGGTTGTGATTCAAGGCTAAGAAACTATCGGCGGAAGGATGGTATGTGGAAAACGTGAAAAGAAACTTGGCACTGTTATCATTCTAGACTCAGCCGTGGGCAAACTACGGCCCGCGGGCCGGATCCGGCCTGTTTGAAATGAATAAAACTAAAAAAAAAAAAGACCGTACCCTTTTATGTAATGATGTTTACTTTGAATTTATATTAGTTCACACAAACACTCCATCCATGCTTTTGTTCCGGCCCTCCGGTCCAGTTTAAGAACCCATTGTGGCCCTCGAGTCAAAAAGTTTGCCCACCCCTGTTATCTAGATACATGTTTTCCCTGGTGCAAGGAATCCCACAGAAAGTGGTGCACAAAAGCTGAACAAAGATAAAGCTTTGACTTTTACAAAAGCAAAATTCAATCCATACAAACGAATAGGTTCTCCAGTTGCAGAATTTGTAAAAGTTCTGTGCACTGGCCAGGTTCTCATTACTGCCAAGGGCTTATGTGCAAGAATGTGTGGGGAAAAGGTTTTCTCTTATTATTTTTGTTAATCCTCACCCGAGGACACGAAATGGAACCTACAGCTCTTCAGTGTGTGGGACAATGCTCTATCCACTGAACCAAACCAGCCAGGGTTGTGAAAACGGTTTTAGAGGGTAAAGACTACCAGCAAACATATTGCATTGATGAAGTTTCTGGCTTTCTGTATAAGTTTACTTTCTGCCTGGGATTTTCAAGGCATAACATAGGTGTTCAAGTTACAAGGTAACATGTTTTAAGCCAAATAATTAACTTTAAACCAAGGAAGTTGATGGGTATTCACTCTTTTGCTCTTAAGAAGTTCTGAATAGCACAGTGTAACTAGTCCTCTGCCTGAAGTTGTTCTTTTCCTTACAATCATTGTATTGAACTGGAATAAGTGACAAATTTAACTTTAACATTGCATAATTGTTATTATCCTCTCCATCTACTTTATTTATAGATATTGCAAATGTGAGGAGATTGATATTTTGCCTTGAACTTGGCATCCAGACTTAAAATTCTTCCCTCAATCCCTTGTTGGTTGCGTAGTTCTTAGAATCAGCAGTCCCTTGATTAATTGCATTTTGCAAAGTATTTAAATATCTGAGACCATTATTGCTGAATGGTGCCTAAGTAATTAGCC